CCCAACCTGCTGGGCGAGAAGGGTTGGACTGGGGGGCGGGGGGGGGGTGGAGGGAGCGGAAGGGCGGGGCGGGGCGGTAGGCGTGGCCAGGACGTGTGATCGACGGCACCGGCCCGCCAATGGCCTGCCGCGCCCCCTCCGCCCGCGGCCAATCGCGGATCGGCCCGCCCCGCGGCGGGCGTGTCAGTCCCGCCCACTCCTCCGCCCCCTTTCGGGGGCGGGGGAGCGCCGGCCGGAAGCCTTGACGGGCGTCACCCCGGGCCAATGGCGAGTCGCCTGGCGCTCCCGCCTACGCGGGTCCCTCCAATGGCCGGGCGTCAAGGTGCACCCGCCCTCCGCGGAAGAGGGGCCTTCCCATCCAATGAAAGGAGACGTCGCCGCCCTCGGGCGCCCCACGATTGTGACGTCAGCGCCCGCCTCGCCCATTGGCGTGCCACCGGTGTCCAGAGGCTCCGCCCCAATCCCACCTCCATGGCCAGCCTCCGCGAATGGTCGGGCGGACCCTCCTCTGATGGACGTGACCACCGTCCAATGATAGGCTCGGGCCGGTTTGACCGCTTCGGAATGTCGCTTCCGTGCTCTGATTGACGTCTCCTCTCCACCAATGGCGGTCCGGATTTCGGAAACGCCGTCCCTACCACCTCCCGACCCCAGCCAATGGCCGCGCGGCTACCGTGGCCGACGAAATCCCCTGTCATCCAATGAGACGTGGCAGTTCTAACCCGCCCGAAACTCCGTCCTCCTCCAATAAGGAACGGCACCGCCTTCCGTTATGACGGACGTCGGTAGCATCCAATCGATAATCAGGCCGTGCAAAGCCCACGGCCAATGGGATGAAGAGCACCGCCCACTCGCGGATCGACGGACGTCTACACCAATAGTAGACAGGGGCGCCACCAGGGGCCGCACAGGCATCCAATAGCAAAGGGTTTCCCATCCACCCTTCGATTGACAGTTGCAAACAGCAATTGAGCCTGCCGTGTGCCCAATATGGACCAATGGGACGAGAGGTCCCGCCCCCTTCACCGTAACGGACGCCACTTTCCTCCAATAGGAGGAGGGAAACCGTGACCGTGGCTCCGCCCCGTCCCGCCGTCGGACCAATGGGACTTGAGACAGTTACGCGCCTATGACGGACGGTCCTCTCGCCCAATGGACAGTAAAAGCTCCACCTCTAGTCCCACCCCTCCATCCCCTCGGCCAATAGAAACGGGGTATGTGTTTGTTCCACCCCGCCCCAAGGGATCCGCTTGTACCCCAATAGGAACGGGCTTCCCCAAGCCCTGCACCGCCCCCTCCAGCCCACCGACCAATGGGAAACGTGGGCCCCATCTCCCCGCAGTGACGGACGTACAAATTGACGAATGGGAAACTGGATCTATTTCCGGTTCCCCCCACCCCCGGCGCCCATCCTGACCATTGGTACGCGTGGACACGCGGCAGCCCACCCGTTGATGGACGGCCGTCTCCTCCAATAGAAAGCGGACAGCGCCACAGTGGGTTGACGCCCTCTTCCGTGCTGGCCGCCAATGGGAGACGAGAACCGTGATGGACGGCCGTGCCCGCCAATCGGCCTTGGCCTCCGCCATCGGCCAATCGGATAGAAAGGTGCTCGGCGGGACCGCTCTGATGGACGGCCAGATGGACCAATGGGAGTTGGGAGTCGCGGGCCCAGCCACCAATGGGATGGAGGGCGCGGGCGGGACCGGTGCTGTCGGACAAACAAGGGGATAGCACGCAGACTGGAGGATGGCCAGAAGGGCCGCACAATCCTGCGGGAATGTCAAAAGGGGTGGTGCAAAATCGTCAAATAACATTAAACACGACTAAATAACGTCAAATAATATTAAATATTTATAAATCAACTTCAAATAATATCGAAATCTTTCAAGTGATATAAAGCAAGACAAAGTAAAGCCAAATAACTTAAAATATTGTCAAGAAACATGAAATAACTTCAATAAACATAAAGCAATGCCATAAAATAATATGAAATAATATCACATGGGCCTAAATAATCTCAAATTGTATCAGAAATCCCCCCCAATGATATTAAATAACGTCACAAAACTCGAAAATAACGTCAAATGAGGCCTAAATAATTTAAAAGCGTACCAAAAATCACCCAAGAATATCAAATAACATCACAAAACTTGAAAATAACGTCAAATGAGGCCTAAATAATTTCAAATCGCACCAAAAATCCGCCAACGGTACGAAATAATGTGGCAAAACTCGAAAATA